GTGTATTATATCTGGGTTGGAGTGTTAACTTGCCAATGCAAGACCCTCCAGTGGTCCTTCTCCCTCTATCCTGGTGACTGCTGAGAATGGCAATTGCTCCATCAAGCTAGGTCCTGGATGGGTTGTTTACGGTTACCGAGATTCAAGGCTGTTTGTTGCTGCAGCATGACCTAGGCTATCCTGACTGATACAAGGGGACAGACTTTACCTGGATGGAACACCGGAGACAACAGAAGATATACAAGGTACACAAGCAGGGGTGGGGTTGGACAGCAGTTCCAGCATCTCAGCTGAGTGCACAGACAGCACCGCACCTACCACCCTCATTCCCACCACTCCTGTCACCCCAACCCAAACCACCCACTCCAGGTGTACGCTCTCCTGCTGCGCTAACATCCCAATATTGCACCCAACTTCAAGCCTTGTGAACACCGTTTCTTCTCTCTTCACCCTCTTCTCTCTTCCCTTCTGTCTGGTCAAGCGTCCTAACCATTCCTGAGAGCACAGATCAGGTCTCATATTCTACAAGGCATCTCTCTACCCACAGAGACGAAAAGGACCACTCTTTGGAATGACCACAGTATCTGTGGTCAGGAGATATCTTTGGGGGACTTAACTGGGTGCCTTGTATATCTTCCATGTTAAGTGGCCTCTACTCCACAAACAGGTAATGAGCCCAAAGGCTCCAGCTCATCTGTGTCTGCCAAGCTCACAGCAGATACTCAATAAATACTGACTAAATAGAAGTGCCATGAACATGATATTTCTTAAATATCCACAGATATTCTTAAATATCCTCGTAAAAATCTAGGTATTTCTACTAAGATATCATTTGTATTAATGAGTTTAACTGGCACTGAACCAAATACTATAATTACTGGAGGGCAACAAGATGACTGGCAGAAAACTCCTTTTACCCTTTCCTGTGGGTCAGAGGTAAGCCATGTATTTGAGGCTCACCTCTGCCTACCACCTGCCATCTCTTGGGTCTAAGTCAATGTTGGTGTCTAGAATGAACCCAGCTGCAGGTCAGCACAGGTATTAGGGAGGGTAAGGGAACAGTGGAGAAATCAGACAAATCCAGACTTGCTGCTATTTTTAGCAGTTATCTGGATCCAACTGGTCATTTCTGGAGACCCAGAAACAATGAAAGAGATTTCCAAAGAGGTTCAGAGAAATCTATCATTTTGCAGAAGAGGCACTGGAATGTGTGCCACACCTGGATCAACATCTGGTTCTCTGGACCCTTGGCACAAGACTCTTTTCACTCCTTCCTGAGGCTTCATTTGTTAGTGGACATCATGATGGCACAGGGGAATGCCCTTCTCTCATCATTTCAGGTAATGTGGGATCCCAGGCCATTGGCCAGGACTCAAAGACATCACTTCTAACACACCCCCAACTTTCCCAGGGCTCTGCATGAAACTGCCCGATAAGGAAGTGTGCCCATCAGGCTCCCAGTGAAGATTTCATCGCCTTGCTCAACAGCCAACGCTGCAGGCCAACAAGTTCTTCAGTCAGGGAGGACTAATCAGGACTAATCAGACGCTCTGCTGTTGTTGTGCACATTAATTTTCTTCCCGTGGCACTTCTGTGCAGACAGAGAAGAGCTGCTAGCTCCTGACCTCATACAACCTTCCATATGCCTTTGGCTTTCTTCCCTGAATGCTAAATCCCATGCTGGCACCTTGAGACATTTTCTAAATGCACCGGGTTGCACTCTTTCCTATCAGCTACTTTCCTGTAAATCATCTCCACAATGATTCCCTTACTACAGTGAAAAGCTGGAAACGACTACAACTTCCTAAGTGACTAGGTGATGGATGAGCTCTCTTGGAAAGAGGCTGCCAGGACACCAAATACTCCCCAATACGGCTGAATCCCAATTGTGGGCAGGTAGATAGCCCAATTTCCTCTGAGCCCCTTCCTCTTATCTCATGGGACTCAGCCTGCCCTAGGTTATCCCCACTTTGTGTCTCTGAAAGGGCTCAGAGAGGGCAAGGGTTTTTCCCTTCCCCTTCTCCTTACATTAGTTGAAATAACAAAATATATAATGCCAGTGCATGGCTAATCCCCAAATGGTGCCTGCACCTGGGCTACTCATTCAGGGCACGGTTTGTGACCTGCCACACAGAGCTCCCTGGGCAGAATGCAGAATCTCAGCATCCTCCTGCTGGCCCCCACTTTCCTGGGCCCATGTGGCTAAGGGGGAATGCCAACTCAGCCAGCCACCCGTTTCAATCTACCTTTAGTTCCCTCTGAAATTCTCCCCCATGGGTGAATGTGGGGTAGCAGAGCTGTTCCACCATCCCAACGACCTCAGAAAGCTCAGCAAAATTGGTGGTGAGAGGAATAGAGCCCACCAGGGACTGACTGCATGGACTGGGCCTGGGCCAACTCAGTACAGTCTCAGGAGTCTTAACTGAGTGACTACTGTGTGCAAAGCCCTAGGCAGGGGTGGTCAGAGATATAGAGGCAGCCCTAGCACTCATCTCAAGGTTGACCAGCTGGCTGAGGGGATAGCCAAATGTATGTGGAACAGTTTGATTCAACATGAATTTGTGACCCAGGAGACCCCTCTCAAAAAGGCCTCGTCCTCTGGGCACATCAGGGAAGAGAGGCAGGTTTATATGTGTATTTAAAATTTTAATTTCAATTTTTTTTTTTTTTTTTTTTTAGAGAGAGAGGGAGGGAGCGAGAGCAAGTGGGGAGGAAGGGGCAGAGGGAGAGGGAAAGAGAGAATCCCAAGCAGGCTCCATGCTTAGTGCGCAGCCCGATGCGGGGCTCGATTCCATGACCTGGGATTATGACCTGAACTGAAATCAAGAGTCGGACGCTCAACCAACTGAGCCACCCAGGCACCCTGAGGCAGGTTTATTTTAACCAGACCCCATCTCCACCTTCCTGGGGCTCTTCCCCCATTATGAACCTATGTCTCAGTTCCACCTGCCAAGAAATGATCAAATATGAGCCTTTTATGATTTCTTCTTTAAATTCAGTTGCATTCATTTTGTCTAACCCCGCTTACCCAAGCCAACTGTTCAACTGCTTCCTGAAGGTGGGATTGGGGGTCAGCTCGTGCTCGTGGTGCCAAGGTGCCCCATCCCACTGGCCCCCAGCCCTGCTCCATCAGCCTACGGTCTGGCCAACTCCCCACCCACTGTTCTCCAGGGGCGTGAACCTGGCCATGAAAGGACAGCGTGGGGTGAGGGAGGCAGATGAGGGGCAAGTGGGAGCACAAGTCATTCGCAGCCCCCTGGAATCCTATTGGGAGTGACAGGAGAATGAGACCAGAGGGAATGGAAGAGGGGGCCCAGAAAAGGTGATAAAGGGGAGAGAAAAAAAAAAAGGAAGATTCTGGGAAGATTCCAGCACCAGATACCTACTGACCAAATAATAGAGAGCTACTTTTTTGGTCTCTCATTTATCAGCCACTTATGTCCCCTATCCAAGAATTTCAACCCCTTCCTGGAACCTTCTGGTTCTTGAGTCCCCAGATCCAAGCCCACCTTTGCCACTGAAGAGTTAAAGGAGTCTTTATGTAGGAAATTGGCAGACAGTGCTCCTGATGTTCTGGGCCTCAGGCCATGGCTGGAGGGATTCAGGGAGGATAACACGGGGTTCCTGACCAAGCACTGGTAGTCTAGTGGCAGGGACAACAGTCCTCCATGGAAGGACACCTACTATAGTAAAGCAAGGGAAAGGGCCAAATAGGGGGAGGGGCAGGTGAGAGACCTGGGTTCAAGTCCCAGCTGGGTCAGGTCATGACACCTCCATGGACTTCAGTTACAAAGTGGCACAGAGAAGCTAGACAAACCCTCAGAGGCCATCGAGTTCTCTGATTTTTATAGGAGGAAGCTGAGGACGAAAAGAATTTCTACCAAGTTTGTGGCAGAGCAAACAGGAGAACCTGGGTCTCCTGCCTCCTCCCTGACCCACAACCCCAGCCCAGGGTTCTTGTTATGGCCTCCTGCCCAAGAAACAATGAAACACACACACACATCTTGTAGTGTGAGAGGGCAGCTATCCCCCCACACCATGGCGTACAAAGGCCGGCAGCCTAAGAAAGATCTAGAACTGAGGCCACTGACCATCTTCGCTTAGGACAGAAGAGAGATGAGTTGATTTAATCAGAAGTCAGACACAAGCAAGTGGGCTCAGGGCAATGTGTGAACGGAGCTGCTCTGAAACTGGGAGCAGGTGAGTGCAGGAGCCAAGAAAGGCTCCCCCTATCTCTCTGGACAGGTACAGCAGGAGGCTGGGCTGACCGTTGGGGATGGATGGGTTTTTTCAGCCTCCAGTCCCATGGTCTTCCAGGAAGAAGGTATCAGCAAAAACAGATGGATGACCAGGAGGGGGTGTACGGGGCCTGAGGGTCACCAGAGCAGCTGCCTCTTTCCTCCTGGCCTCACACCCCACACCTGTGTGGGTACCCCCTGGGGATCTCACAGGCAAGCAGGAGGGACAGAAGCAGCGGGTTCCAGCCGGAAACAGGAAGCTGGATGGCTGGCGGGTCTGGGGGGACTGACACCTCACCCCCACATTCTACCCCTCCAGGTCCTCTGCAAACCTGGAGTAGAAGTGATCTCAAGTGCCCCTCCAGCACCCAAACCCTAGGAGGCCCACTGTTTGTGGGATCCATCACCAACGCTGATGTGCGAACCTCCAAGGTCATTCGGGCTACTGCCGTCTACCATTCCACACCTCATTTATCCACTCTCCTCTCAACGGCCATGCAGTTGTTTGCAGATGTTGATGCAAAAATCATCAAATGACGAAAAAAAATCTCAGGAATCTATGTGTTTTGAGGAGGGGGTGTTTCACTGTGGGCTGCGTGTTCGGGGAGAACTTTCCAGAGAGCAGACTGCAACCCTCCTCTCTCCTATTTCCTGCTCTCTCCTCATCACCACGGCTCAGGAGAGCGGTCACGAGTCAGCCCAGGAACCCAGACAGACAAGACACGTGAGCACCCCCAAAGGAGCACAGAGCTGGTTCCCTACCTGCTGCGGGGGGGCTCGCCCTCGGGAGAAGGGACAGCTGCTGTCTAGCCGCTCACCGTGGTCTGCTGCCCACTGCAGGAGAGAAAGGAGTGGTCAGTGATGGCTGGACACATAGGCTCGTCCTCACCCTGCCGGGGCCTTGCCAGGACGGCCCTGCCCTTCTGCAGGAGAGCCACGATAAAAGCCTACTTGGCCATTTTCAAAGACAAATCCTTCCCTACCAGCGGGTCCACTTTGGCATCTCCAAATTCCACCTTGAGGTGACCCCTCTGGTGCATGCTTGGGGAAGGCAAAGTTACTTCCCTTCACCTAAGCCCACCAGAATGATTGAGCCCGGCTACCTTCCAGAGTCAACCACACAGGACACAGGGTGGTTGTATTTTGAACAACCAGCACAGCGTCTGACTGCCTGACCCGGAGGGGAGGCATATACGTGTGGATCTTCCCGTGTACCCAGCTCCAGGGGACAATGGACCTGTGGGCTGACAGGAAGAGACCCAGACTGGCCATCAGAAGCCTGGCTCCAGCCCAGTCCCAGCATTCACTCCTCAAGAGCTCAGAGACCTGCGGTGCCCCAAAGTGTGGTCTGACGGCCACTTGCATGAGATTCCCCCCAAACCTGCTGCACGGGGGTCCCTGGGCCCCACCCTCCACCCTCAGTGAGGGTGGGCCTGAGCTGCTGCATTTTGACAAACTCCCTAGTGATGCACCAGAAGTCTGAGAGCCACTGAAATCCATGGATTTCCCAGGCTTTGTCTGGTCATCTACAAAACAGGGCCAGCCAGGCTGGCTGACTGCAAGGTTGAAATGAAGGACCTCTGTAAACGTATAAAAACACCGTAGAGATATTAAGTAGTTGTAACAGTACAGCTTTTCCTCTGTAAGGTGTCATCGAGCTATACAGTGGTGTTTTTAATTCTCGTTAAATGTTATCTAGCCCCTTAGGCTAATGTTGAACACTGACCTTGACCCACACCAACACACGAAGAGCGGAGGAGCCCAATATCTCTGTTTGACATACTTGGTCAAAACAGAGTGAGTGTGAACGGCTCGAGGCCAGTGCAGTCCCGGTGTTATAAAACCTTAGCTGGTCACACCCTCCTGACTGTGGGTCAAGGGCACGACCTTTGTCACAGCCCCGCTGACACAGGCCGGTATAAGAGCAGCGCTATCCAAATGAAATAAGACGAGGGCCACAAATAGGAGCCACAGAGGTAATTTAAAATGATCTAGCAGCCAGATTTTAAAAAGGAAAAGGCTAACTTCAATTTAATAATATATTTTATTTATCTCAATATATCCAAAATATGATCACTTCAACAGGTAATTCATATGACATTATTTTTTTTTAAAAAATTTATTTATTTGAGAGAATGTGTGGGAGGGGAGGGGCAGAGGGAGAGGGAGAGAGAGAATCACAAGCAGATTCCTCGCTGAGCTCGGAGCCCCATGCAGGGCTCGATCTCATAACCCTGAGATGATGACCTGAGCCAAAATCAAGAGTTGGACTCTTAACCGACTGAGCCACCCAGGCGCCCCAAAACAGTATTAACGAGATCTCTTATATTCTTCTTTCCATGCCAAGTTTTTGAAATCTACTTAGAGTACATGTCCAATTAGACCAGCCACATTTCAAGTGTTTGAGACACACGTGACTAGTGGCTATGATACTGGATGGCACAGCTCGAGGGAAACAGCGGGGCAGCAGTCCCGGGCAAGTGTGTCCTAACAGCCACGTCTGGCCCATCCCTCTTGGGCACTGCCGAGGAGCTGACCCCTGCAGACTACGATTCCCAGCCTCCTGTGTCAGCTGGCTTCCAGCTCGGTTCGGCCACTGGGAGGCAGAAAGAAGGAAGAAGCCAAGGTGCTGGTTTCTCCCCTCTCCCTGTGCCTCAGGGAGGGCCCTGCCGGCAGGGACTGGGTCTCCTTCATGGCTCCAGACCTCACCGGATGAGCCTTCTGTGCATGACCCTGACTCCTGGGCTCTGGCAACACCATCTCCTCCTTTTGTGCCTCAGGCCTGGAGGTGGGATTGGCTTCCTGGGATTGCTAGTATCTGGCTTATTTCGCTTCTCAGCTCTTTCATCATCTGGGTAACCAATTGCCTGGATTAAATTCCCTCTGTCTGGATATTTGCAGTCTCAAAGCATCTCCCCCAATATATTTATTAACTATATCAATTATTAAGTATAATAAATATATTAATTAATTAGTTATATGAAGGAAAGTGAGAAATCCACCAGACACCACCTCAACCGAGAGATGGGGGATAACACTGGCCATAACGAAGCCTATCAACACCATGGACTCCCGAGTATGACGTGCTTCTGAAGTGTTCTTGCCAAAAATGTACAACCTCAATCTAATCAGGAAGATTTTCTATGAAACAAGTAACCAGCACTCCTCAAGTCAAGGTCATGGAAAACCAGACCCAGGAAGGATGCACAGACTGGAGGAGAATAAGGAGACATGACAACTGGATGCAAATCTGGATCTTGGAACAGAAAAAGGGATGTTCGTGGGAAAACTGGTGAAATCTGAATAAAGTCTTATGATACCGATGTTAAATCCTTAGTTCTCATTATTGTACTATGGTGAGGTAAGGTGTTCGTATTAGGGGAAGCTGGACAGGTCCATGGGAACACACTGTACTATGTTTACACCTTTGCCTTAAGTTTAATTAAAATAATTTCAAAATAATAAGTAATACGTATATGTATGTATGCATACGTATTTTTTGAATGATATATACAGATAAGCATATGTATGTACATATGTGCATAAAGTGTTTAAACTACCATAAAAACAATTCTTCTGTTTTATACCCTTGCAGTGGCTTCTCCTTTCCTGCTGACAGGGTAGGGGGTGGCCAAGGCCCACAGCGAGTACGGGCTGGGATCACGCACCCTCCATCCCATCCTAGGACAGCCTTGCAGAGAAAGGCTTCCCCCCATCCCAGGTGTCCCAAACCCTTCACCCCCAGCTGCACAGCCCCTGTGTGACATCTCCTGGAGGAGTGACTCGTGGTTGGGCACGCTCCTGGGGTCAGCAAGCAGGGCGGGGAGACTCGATGGCTCCCCTTGCCAAGCAAGCAGAGAGAAGGCTGAGGTTTCACACACTGCCAGAGGTAACCTCACCCCCTGCTTAGGCTTTCCGAGAGCGGTTCCAAGCTCCCGAGAGATGGCTCTGCTTTGTCAAAGTCATCCCTAACTTAGTATCCTCCAACCAGAAGCCATTTCCTGGGCGCTTTCCATGCAGGACCTGCAATAAGCACCTCCCTTCGTGGGAGAGGCGAGCTGTCTGATACAGCGATGCCAGGTGGAAGGCAAGGCTGAGAGAAGAAAGAGCTATACCCTTGGCAGGGGACCTGGGGGGTGGTGCGGGGAAGGAAAATGGGCAAGTGGGGATTCCCAGAGAGGCGCGAGGCTGGGCATAGACACAGGCAGCGGGACAGTCTCCAGCTCAGAGGCCGATTGCAGCAAGCAAGACTCTCTCTGGTCAAGGCACTTGGAGACTTTTCCGGTCAGAAGAACGGGGTGACCCTGCTAGGGGAGGGCATCATCAGAGCCGTATCAGGGAAGGCTAACTAGCCCGGGTGGGGGCGGGGCGGGGAGCGGGTCAGGAGGCTCTGAGTCCAGCGTCTGGTTTTCCACCGGCAGTGGAGGCAGAGATGGAAGTGAAGAAATGGATCTGAGAGCATGGTACAGACAAGCAGCAAGCAGAGGGGCTGATCTGTGTGAAGGAGAGCAAGCAAGGCGATAAAGTCTGCAGAAATCCACCCCAGAGACCCAGTCAGGGCTGCATACAGGCAGGTCCCTGGGCAAAGTGGTTGCAGAAGGGACTGTGTGGTCCAGCTGTGCACAGCTTTCCTGCGCCCCAGGAAGGAATTAAGCATGAATCACTGCACTTACCCCACAAAGCTGTACCCACTGGGCTTGCGAGGCACCACCTCCAACCCCTGCAGGAGCAGCTGTCCCAGGGACCGCCTCTTCCCTGCTGCTGCCTGGTGCTGGGATCACCTCCAGCAGGGATGAGGGCTCCTTCCCCGGTCCGAAAGCCCCTTGGGAACTCTCCCTTCCCCACCTCTGCTGGGATTGCTCTTAGGCTGTAGCCCCCACCTCCTGCCTCCCCCTTGCCTTTTCTGAGCTATCGCCTAGAAAAATCTCCAGACGCAGCCCTTCCCTGAACCTGTCCGTATCTGTATGAGATGATTCCAGAACAGAGAGAAGGACCCCCGCCTGGAGAGCAGGCTCAGCTCTCCCACCCCGATGTCGATTCCAACACTAGAGAGTTTCTCCTTCAAGGGAAACTGGTTTGCTGCTAGGAGCAGGTCCTCTGGGGGAAGAGGTGGTGTCCTCCGGAAAAGGTCATTGAACACAAGGAGGCAGGAAAAGTGGGACATTTTTTATATATGGGAACGATGGACATCGAATGAGTAGTGTGGGGCCTCCACCCTGCTGCTATAATTTATTTCTTACTTTAAAAACCTGAAACACAGATGGCATGGGGTGAAGGTTTCATAAATGGGAGTACAGATGCTTTTTCTATACCCAAAATGGATGCTTATTCTAGTATTCTTCGCTCTTATCGGCACATTTAAATTATTTCACAGTAGGGGCACCTGGCTGGCTCAGCTGGGGGGAGCATGTGACTCTTGATCCCTCGGGGTTGTAAGTTCAAGCCCCACATTGGGTGTAGAGATCACTTAAAATAAAAATCTTAAACAATAAACAAATAAATAATCTCACAATAAAAAAATTATAATCTGCTCTCTGTCATTTGCATCCCAGGAGGGACAGTATTTTAGGAGCAGACTTGGTGAAAGACAGGGGAACCCCTTGAACCCTGGGGTAGGAAGAGCATGGAGTGGGGGAGGCTGAGGGTGCACCCCACTTTTCAATGGTATGAAGCTCCCCAGGGATTGCACTTCCTGATACCCAGTATATTACAAGGCTTGAGGCAAACCAGCAAGTTGACTCAGTATGTCTCACCCAGGATGAGATAAAGAGATAATTGACAAAACTGCATCCATAAACAAACAGATGTACAAATGGGATTTTAGATCATAGATT